CCCACCCTCACTCTAATTATGAGATTTAAAAAAAATATCCTTTTAAGATCCCTCTAAACTTCAGTGGGATTTAAGTGCAGACTTCTTAAAAATCAGTTTATAGTCAATCTATAAAAATTAAGTGTCTCAGGGTAAAGATCCACATGTTCAATCTTGTACCTTGAGAGTGTCACTGCATAAATATTTAATACCCATTTAAAGTGGCGGATTTAATGTGTGAAGTAATCTTTGCAGTTCTTTCTGTTCCAAACCCCTCCTCCCCAAACACATTTAAATAAACCAATGTCTTTGTGGCCTCTGTAACAATAATTCCTTGTCTCCTAGGGGCATGAGTTTTAGGTAAAGAATGAAAATCATAGACTCATTTGGGACTAGGATTAGCTTTAATCTTGAGGTGATTCTTACAGTTGTAGGACTCTGTGTTCTGGGGAATGTGAGCTGATGGATCATTTCTGATGGGACTCTTATTTTTTTTTTGTGTAATACTACCAATGCAAAACAGATTGACCTTGGAGCCCACAGGAGTCAACTTGATGAAGAGCTTAGTTGGAGCTGGAGTGACAATCAGAAGCCAAATGAATCATATCAAGTGTGACCATTACAGGCCTGAAAATGATTCTTAATTAACCACTGATCCTCTGTGGTAGCAAGTTTCCAAAATCTGTGAATCCATAAGGGAACCAGTGAAAATGTACAAGTAGCAATTTACCTAATCTAATAGCTCTGGTGTGCTGCCTATTTGAATGTGCTTTATTTTTGTCTTATTTCATGCTGTACGTTAGAACAGTTCTGGACTTTGTTAGTAGTTTCTATGAAACAAGTTAGAGCTGAAGTACGCAGCCACCATGATATCTAAAGTTATGGAAGTGTTTAATTATTGCATTTCTTCTGTCCTTCAACCTTATTTTTCCGAAAGTTATTTTTTAACTGCAAATCTGTTAGAGGTCACAAACTTAAATTATTCTAAAGGATGGAACAAGATAGTGTGTTCTTTTAACACTAACAAAAATGAGTTTTGACTTTTCTGTCCAGAACACTAACTTTATTGCAGTATTAACCATACTGGCTTTACATTAGAGGGTTCATTAATGGCATTTGGAGTGAAAATGCAAACTCATTTCTCCATACTCTCCTGACAGGCATGTCTAGACATCCTCCGGCTCCTGATATCCCAACCTTTTATCCATTGTCTCCAGGTGGTGTTGGACAGATAACACCACCACTTGGCTGGTAAGAAGCACTTGCTTCTCAGATGTGTGCATGCTTATCCTCTCTGATTATTGATTCAATTGCAGCATTTACAAAGAAAAAAAAGATCATTGTATTGATTGTTTTATTTTAGTTTAAAAAAGGTTGAGCTTGGAAATGAATGGGATCTGTTCTTGGAGATGTATGGAAAGGGAATTGTGTGGATTTTACTTTGAAATCTGTATACATTTATGGCTCAGGCTTGTGGCTTTTGCCATTTGGAAGGACTGTAGAATAACAGGTCTCAAGGAGTTAAACAATAGTTTTAATAAACAAAATTGTAATTATTTGTGGGGAAAAGAACAAGCTTTGAAATACGGGAAAATCTTCCTTTACTTGAAACAGCACCAAGCAAGACAGACTTCATAGTCTGTTCCATCTCTTTTAGTTTCTGTAAGCAAAGGTAATGCATAGTTACTGAAGAGTTTGTGTTATTTAATTTTATTATTAGAAATACAAAAGTCCTACTCCCATGCTTGGAGAGCAAGATTCCTCCTAGAGCCAGTACTCATGTTCAGTGTCTCCAGTAACAGGGTGTTTTGACTTCGGGCTGTTTCCTCTTTACACACTTCAGTGGCACTTACATAGCTGCTGACATCAATTGTGGCATCTGTGCAGTCTGGATTCCATTTCCATCCATAGGATTGCCCTAGGTGTGTATTTGCTGGAAGTGAAATGGAAGAGGATGGCCCTCCCACCTTTAAGCAAAATAGGGCATTAGCTCAGGAAGCAGGTGACCAAGACTCTACCTCTCCCCACCCCTTTTATCCACAGGGGGTTTGAACCTGAATTTTCTGATCTCAACAATATTCTCTAACCACTGGGCCATAGGTGAGGTATTACCTAGAGTCCTTCTCTTGGAGCTGGCTCACTGGATGGCCAGGAGGGTAAGACATGTGGGCCAGGTGGTGATGAGCAACCTCCAGGGTGGGTGGCTCAGTAAGAGAGAGGGATTCTCTGGGTTCTGGTCTCTGTCCCTTTTCTACATCTTGCATTTACTATTCATTGTATAAAAAGCAGTAGGATTAGTTTTTGTCCCATTAGGATGTGAGGCTAGAACCCTCTTCCCAGCCAGCATCTGCCTCCTTCTGGCTTACTCTTTCCCTCCTAACTTTGTATACCATATTTACTTGCATACCACATGCATCTTTCCTCCCCGAAATTAGTCTTCCATAACTGGGTGAGCATTAAGCATGAAAGCTGATTTTTCTACCCAGAATAGGAGCATGGAGATGATAGAAATGGCTGCTGCTACTTTTCCTTCTCTTTGTCCAGCAACTGCTTGGGGGGGGAAGCAGAGCCCAGCGGGGGCAGATCCACATCTAAGGAGCCATACCTCACTTAGATTCTTGCTCCACCCAGAGTTTAAAACCAATTGCTTGGCAACAGAGGTGGCATTTTTATTCAGGAAGTACAGTACTGAGGAAGTTAATTGACTTCATGCCTCATTACAGTCTACCTCAGGGGTCTAACTCATCCAGCCGCTTAAGGGTTGCTGGGCTGGTCCGTGATCAGGGTTAGGCAGTGCTGGATCTAGTGTGCAGGGCTGGTCCAGCAGGGTGCCTCAAGCAGTGTGTGGCTGATTTAGCCTCACACGCTATGTGCAGTATGTCTGCCTTGTGGGGCTCCCTCTGTACATGGTTCATGGGGCCAGCATGGGATGTGTGCTGGCTGTGGGGCTGGTCTGGATTGGGCCCCAGGCTGTCTGTGTCTGCTGGAGCTAGCATGCAGGGTTAGTCTAGCAGGTTGCCCCTGCAGCTCTGTGCTAGCCCCATGCAAGCCTTGGAGCAGGGCTGGTGTGTGCTGCACCTGGCACACTGGAATGGGCTAGCTGTGCATGCTGCAGGAGGCACAGAGGTCAGCATGGGGTGCACGCTGCATGTGGCACCTTGCCAGAGTGGCTCTGCATGCTAGCTCTAGTGCAGCCTGATCCAAACCATTCTCTGAGTCAGTGCACAGAGCTGGTCAGCGTGGGCCTGCATGCAGCACACATCGCAGACAGACCTCTGTGCTGCATGCAGCACCTGCAGTGTCAGGTCTAGCCTGCATGCCAAACCAGCTCTACGTGCAGGGTCAATCTGAGACCCACAGGTTGGATGCAGCACATGGACAATATGTTGGATACCCCGGTTCTACCCGATTCCTGTTGTTCACTTTTAATGCCACAGGTGTTTGTGACCTGAAAGACTCCTTTCTAATGGCCTTGATACTCCTAATCATCACACTATCCCTTCTTCAGCAATTATGCTGCGTGTTAGATACTCCCAGTCTCTCTCCTCTTAATTCACAGTCCTGTAGATTGTTTTTAGCTCTTTTCCAAAATTCTAGTTCTGCCCATGGAGTCTGGTCTTCAGCAGCAGCAGCAGCAGTTAGTTTCGGCCTTTGTCTGAGCAGGCAAGAGCTGCTGACAATTCAGCTGAGAAAGGGTTAAAACTGTAGCTTTTTGCTAAAGAGGAAAGGGAGGGTGAACAAGCTGAAGATTAGGCTCTGTCCCTGCTCTGTGGAGCCATAATTCTAGAAAAATCTCTTTTTCTTTACTCAGCCTTCCTGAACACAAAGTGTGTCTTTTATTTGCGGACATGCATTATGCAAGAAAATATGGTATCTTCCCCTCCTGCTGCCCAGTGGGTCAGCTTCAAGGGGAAGGATGGAGAGTGCCTACAACCTGGTGGTCCAAGCACGTTTGTTGGGAAGGGCCAGGTACAGTGGCATCAAAACCTCTTGGAGGGTGGGAGAGGGGCCTAGAGCCCTGGGTCTGAGCAAGTACTATAACCATAAGGCTATTGGGTTAGAAGGTGGAAGGGCTGCCTCTTCCAGACACCTGCTAGTTGTGCTTTTTCTGCATCTAAAGTTTTGGGATGTGCACAACATTATGTGTGAGCCTGGGCAATTCTGTTCTGCTTGGGTGCCTACACACAACCAGAGTGCAATTTTCTGAGTATGCTGAGACAGAAGCTCGAGGCAAGTGTTGCTCTACACGTGCAAATAGAATCAAACTGCATGAGCACCAGAAGTTGCAGTTATGGGGCATGTAAGTGCCACTTGGTCATGTAACAGTGAAATATGACGTAGCCCCTCTGGTGTTGAAGGATTGTTGAGCCCTTTAGAACCACTGAGAAATATGTACTTATGCAGGAAAAATGGAATATTGAGGACAGGGGCAGCTTATGTAAATTTAGCATCCACCTTCCTGGGCTCAGATTTTTGCCCTGCCAAATGAATCATGCTGCTTCCCTCAGGTCTTGCACAAATGCATTCATGGTAGGGAAGTGCAAGCATTCAGATTTAGTGTGAGGAAAAGATACCCAGGCAGACCAGAATAGGTGAAGTGCTGAGCATCCTGTGAGCTTTGTGTGTTCGACACCTGGCAGGCTGTGCTCTTTACTCTGAATCAGGCCTGAAATCATGTGCTGAAAGCCCTGCAGCAAGTTAATAGTAGGGGGAGGTGGGGGTGGGAATTAAAATGTGGAAGCGTGTGATTCAAACAAAATCATTGGTCTGGCTAAATGGCTACTCTCTACCCCTGCAAGATGATTTGTGCCATTTATTTTCCAGCTTTGGTCAAATGCTGAATAGTTTCTTGATGTGATGATGGGGGTGGGGGAGATGGAAACATAACTAGGCCAAGACGTAAAGAGAAGGAGAGACTAGTTAACTTGTAAAGCTTGGGGAGAATCTGGTCAGCAGTGCTCTCACATGCTTGGACATGCCCCCAATCCGTTAAGTGTTGCTTCTTCTGGATCACTTCTGCACAGCAGCATTACCAAGGTTTCCATCACCTTTTTTCTCCCCTCCTTCCTGCTTTTAAGCACTGCCTGTCCTGCAACATACACTCACTTAAAAGTGTGAAAACTGTTGCCCTGAGCGTTATAAAGGCCATCAGCTTTGACAAAGCCATCTTTTAGTTTTGGTTTAACATTAAATATGTCAATAACTGCTTGAGTGGAATTGATTGGGTTTTGTCTTTTGAAGCTGGATCAAATAGTCTTTCTGAACTTGTATTCGTGTTATAGCATGCTTATGTAAGTACATTAAAAGTAGACAGCAATTTTTCTGCGGGGAGAGGGACAGCAATCTTACAATGCAGGTGGGTGGTCACTCACTAGCAATAATACCCTGCAGATAAATTCTTATGCTGTAACCCCAAGATCCCATCAGGTGTCTGTAACTCTAGGGTAACTTAACACAGTATCATATTATTGATGGGTTCCTTTCTTCTGTGACCTCAGGCAAGGTCAGCCTGTATATCCCATCTCGAGTGGATTTAGGCAGCCCTACCCATCCTCACTCTCAGTCGACCCTTCCATGTCCAGGTAGGTGTAGGAGCTGAATGACTGACTGGGGAGTAACTGCTGGCATTAGAGGGCAAGTTGCTCTTCTGCTTGCATCTTGGTCTGCCTTTGCTTGCTTTTCAGTCAGCTAAAAACTTACGCATAATTTTTATATACCATGTTTGTGCACATACAGTTTTGCCTGGATCCCACACTGGTCTCATTTCACATTTTCCAAGCAGCCACTGACATATTAGAATTAGTTAAAAATACAATTTGTAAGTATTTTTAATATTCAAATCACTTTTTCTAAAATGTGCAAAAATAGTTCACTGTTTAGCCACAGCATAGTAGAACACTTCCCCAAGTGTGAAGTCAGGTAAAATACGCTGTTCCGAGTTTAGATTCTGTACTGTAATTCTGCAGTTTGCCTTGAATAGTTTGGGTACCATTCCATGCGGAAACGTACTCTAAAGTAGGTGTTTCTTAGCCCAAAGCTCTTGAAAGCAATGCTAACAAGGTCAGTCTACACTGGTGTGTGAATCAGGCACTGTGTCTCCATATTAAATGCAAGCAAGCAGTGCTAACTGAAACTTGGCCGTGCCACACTCAGAACCTTCTCTGTGTAATGCTTTGCACTCTGGAAAGGCGGCTTCTGTATCCTGTGCTTGATGTACACAAGGTTGCAAATACCATTCCTGCATTTTGTGTGCCCTTTTAAGAAGATGTGTATCTTACACTGGGGTTCAAATAGTCCAGGTCATACATGATGGCAGTCACCCCTTTTTAATAATGGGCTCTTTATTTTTCCTTGCTCCTTTGTAGGTGAGTAGCAGGCGTGGCTTAGTTAAAGCGTCTGAGAAAAAAAGATACCTACTCTACTCCATAACAAAAATATCACCCCATTTTGTTTGATTACTGATTTTTCTCACACAATGGCTATAGTATGGAGTCAGAGGAGCCTGATCCTGCAAAAGGCTGCCTGCTTCATCCTCAGTCTAGCAAACCCACTGAAGCATGTTCTTGCTTTAATGTCATTGGGACTGGACTGTTTTTAGGCTTAAAATTAAACATGTGTTTAAGTGGTCTACTGGACTGAGGTAACAAAATTCACTACCTCCAAGACTGAGCTCAGTTGTTTTGGAGCACATTTTTTTTTGGCACCCTTGCACAGTGAAAGGAAGGGTTGATAGTACAAGAACCAGTTGTCTTCCTTCCCCCAGAATACTGTAGTTTTGCTGAAGTAATAAAAAATGCTCTGAGTTTATGATAAGTGTAGCCAAAATTAATTATCTAAGACTATCACTTCACTTTCAAGACAGAATCACTTGCTTTTCAAAGTAAAGTGGAAAAAAAATCATCTATGGGATTTTTTTTTTTTAAGGACTCTTCTTCCCTTTTGGTTTGTTCTGCATGGCAGTTCCCTCTTTTTGTGTTGGCTGGTGGTGGATATTCTAAGAGCGTTGAGATGCTGGTGTGGCCATGCAGGTTTTGGTTGAGGAATGTGTACTTCTATTGTTATCCAGTCCAACAGTATGTGTTGCATTTCTGGGTGTGCATTGTCAAACTCTTCACCCGAAAGGTAACAACATACATTGTTGAAACCAAAATGTTGACCTGATTTTGAAATAAACCAGATACAATGCACAAATCTTAGGCAAGTAATTTTTACGCATTCTTATTAAATAGTGTTTGAGACATCTTACTGCTCTCAACCAGTCTTTGCTATTGTTACGAATCCCTGTACTTGTTTTCTTTTCCTAGGTTTTCACATCATATGATTCCTGGACCTCCAGGCCCTCACACAACTGGAATCCCTCATCCAGCTATTGTAACGCCTCAAGTCAAACAAGAACATCCGCACAATGACAGCGAGCTAATGCATGTGTGAGTCTGCCTTTCTGCACTAGCCCTTACTCTGAAAACACTTCAAAAGTCTGTAGTTAAAAGTAGAAGAGTTAAACAAAACCAGTGTCTTTCATTAGTGCTCTGAATTCTGACTCTCTATTAATACTAAGGAAGGGAAGTGAATGTCTTCTTGGAGGAGTGAAAAGGTAGGGAGGCTTGACTTCCAGACCACTACCTTGAATCTGATTCGGGGCAATAGTTGCCAAAAGCTGGTGGCCAGTTGGTGGCCTGTCTGAAGATAAACTACCTGATCATCAGTTCATGAATCCCTAGAGCAGAAGTCCCCACTGTAATTGACATTCTGTTTAGCAGTTGAGTGCAAAAGGTCCAAGAAGCAAATGGGCAAAGAAACTGAACTACCCTTTCGCCTATGGCGGTTGCCTTTGGAGTATTGTGGAAAAGTTGCTGGCAAAGAGGTGTGGACCTTTACTGTTGCTGCTACAAAGGTGTACTTAGGTTTACTGGTGAAACAGACTTCACCACTTGGCCATTGCTGCCAAACCAGCTCCTTGAACACTAAATTCATTCATTAAAAATAATAAGTTCAGGAGCTGCAGTCATAGCTCAGACTTGCCAATTTGGACCTGAAGCTTAGAAATTTCCCTCTCAATACATTTTAGGCTAAAGGTAAATAGTTGCTATCTTTTTTCCCCCCACCACGTTTTAGGAAGCCTCAGCATGAACAGAGAAAAGAGCAAGAGCCAAAAAGACCTCACATTAAGAAACCTCTGAATGCTTTCATGTTGTATATGAAAGAAATGAGAGCAAATGTTGTAGCGGAGTGTACTCTGAAAGAGAGCGCAGCTATCAACCAGATTCTTGGCAGAAGGGTATGTACAGTAATATATCTGTGTATATGTGTGCGTACACTAGTAATTGGCCTATGAATCTCTTTAGAAGATGCAAAGGCTAACTTTCTGCTTGATGCACTGACTAGTTTACAATTATTAAATAAGGGAATAGGAGCCCAGGGTATGAAACCTAAAATAAGCTTCATCTGGTTCATGCAAGAAAGTTAAAGATATCATCAAATTAGACTTTCTTATGTTTAGTTCTGATTCTCTCACTTCCCCCCTCAAATATGCATGTTATTGATATTTATCAGCTCGCTGAACCTAAATTATGCTCCTAGTGAATTTAGAAGTAAAATACAAACTCTAGGGAGTACCAGAGACTTCTCTTACAATTATCCATGCTCAGTATGAATGGGCTAGCCAAGGCCGTGCTAGCAACAACATGTTTCCTTGTCACAACATGCAGTCTCTCCCGCATTTGTTATTTGAGAGGTTATTACTTCAAACTACTTGCTGCTAATGTGATTGAAAAACCGCTGTTTGTCCAGTTTTATGTTTAAGTTCTAAGACCTTCAGGTCTTCTCTATTCTGAGGCCAGGTCTATATTGTGCAGTCTCAGCCTGGAAAGAGGCATGATTCCTGACTGGCAGCTATAGTGGCAGACCCTTGCAGTATAGACACAACCTATGCCAGCAAAGAGGGTCCTTTAGACTGCATAGTTTACAGCATTTGGGACCTGGTTTGATTGTGCTAGCAAAAGGACTCCTTTTTGGTGGCAGAAGCTGGATTTTCTTTAGGGAGTTTTGTCAGTAGGACAGGACTGGTAAAGTTTTTGTAGTGTTGCAGTCATGGCAGATGTTTTTCGTTAGACTACTGTGAAACAGTTTTGTCAGTGTAGCCGCATTCATACCAGGAGAACTTTGGTTGTATTGTTTCCTGTGACTTATGCCAGTAAAATACCCCAGTGCAGGTAGAACCTGAGACAACTTTGGTGTCAATATGATTACAGTCCAACTTTTTGCAAAGCACAATATACAAATTAGTACGAGGATCTATCAAAATTTGCTTTCCTTGGTCAGCATTCTTTCAATCCTCTATTTGCATTGTTACAAAAACTTCACTTCTCCTTTGATGAAAATCCTGAACTGGATACGAAAGTGCCAGCAAATCTCCTTTTACCTTGTTTCAGTCATTTTAACTTGTTTCTACCCCCCCCCCCCCAATTTTTTTCTTTTTGGGCCCTTGGTTTTTTTAAAACACTTTTTTTTGGTTTGCATTTGCGAGGCA